GAAGCGCGGGATTGAACTGCTGCTGAAAACTGGTTTCCCTGTATTTATTCTACGCGGTGAACGTGCGGCATCCCGCCAAGGACTCGGTTTAGAAATCATCCAGGATCGACAATTTGTAATGATTTGTAAACTTGCATCCAAGATCGTTCATCTCGAGAATCTCCACTGTTCCGAGAACGATCGATCGACCCCGAATTTTGAGAAATGAATTCGCTCTGAATGAAAGGAAATTATAAATTAGATATCTAAACTCTAAAAGAGTTGGATTAAAGAAGAAGAAAATTTCCTTCCTTAACAACTCGTGAAACTTAATTTAATCGAATTTAATCGAAGAAGAAATAATCGATCTCGAATTTTGAGGAATTTTAAAAATTTCAAGCCAATCGATCTCTCTAAGCGAGCGAGACTTTTGTTACGATGAATCTAATTGGATTAAAAAAAGAAAATTTTCCTTGCTTAACAGCATCGTTGTCGAAGGACTCGAAGAAAAAAATCGATTGCTCGGGAAGAAATAACAGAGCCGTAGCGTTGTTAAAGATGGAGGACGACACAAAGAAAATGATTCACATTTTTTACGAATACGGTTAGTTACTCACTCGAGCGATTTCTCGAGCAACCGTTTCTCGATCGATCCCACGGAACTTACGTGGTCGAATTAAATAAGGAAATAGCCACTTCCTGGTCGTTAATCACACGAGACACGTGTCCACACGTGCACACACACACACACGTGTATTCGTCTCGGCTAAAAACTTCATTTGGCTGAAAATTAATACATCTCTCTCTGCCCTCTCCTCCAATCCGTGTTTCAACGTCGAATAACGGTAATTTCATTGTAAACTTGTCTATCTCCTCGAGACGACGGATTCCATGCATTCGATTTTCTCCCGTTTTCTCCGATATTTATTATTACGTTTACGATCCTCCATTTCCTGCCTCTCGTCTGCCTCTCGTGAAAGTTCACCTTTGGAATATTTTTCGACGGAAGGAGAAGGAAAACGATTCGGAAATATATATGTATATACGATAAAATGAAATGGAACTGCGCTTTTTCTCGAATATTTCATCGAACGAGAGGACGGAGTTGAAATAAGAGCGTCGGCGGTGTTCTCCTTTAAACCAACCTCCAAGTCCAACGGGGAGGATCCTATGTCGCTGCCACGTTACGATACACACTCGATGTACACTTTACGACGGTGTTTCTAACGAGCAAAGTGGCTCGTGTAACTTTAACATCGCCGATAAATTCGCTCGAGAGGAGGTGTATAAAAAATAAACGCCTCCATTGCTCATCCCATTGGCAAACTGGGCCACTCGTCCTTCGAGTTAATAGTCCTTCCAATAAAATTTCAACTACTCTCAATATTTTCTTCTTCGTTTTCTCCTCGAAAAGTAACCGAAAGCTTTTTCCATTTCCGACATGTAACGTCAATCATTGTTCATAATCACGATTGATCAATTTAAAATTCAAAAAATAAAAAAGAAGAAATAACTGTTTTGTGCGATTACGTCCATTATTTCTAACGCTCTTTTCCCCCGTTCAGAATTTCTCGCCAACGAGATTCGTTAATTAGAGACACCTTTCGACACCATTCCTCAATGCGAAATCGTCGATTCGAATCTCATTGTCTTCCTTTTTCTTCTCTTTTTTTTTTTCCCCCTCCTTGCGCATCGAGATTAATATCATTGTTATCCCTCGTAATCTCGATTTCTCAATGTGTATTTTCCTTTTTTTTTTCTTTTTTATCCTTGACGAACGAATTGTTCGATATTTTTTTCTCGCAACAATTTATCCTAGGCGTCTCGAACGATTGTACACGGTGTTATTGTAACATTATACCCGCAACAGGTCCGAGTTATCTCGGGATTTATTGATCCTGGCACGAACGCCTCTCTCTCTCTCTCTCTCTCTCTACTAACTCCTCTCGCGCGTCGT